CCTATGATGACATGGCGAGTGGGTCCAGATCCGTGCGCTCGATCCAATGTCAACGAGGGCGTTCGAGACGAGATGAAAAAATTCTGACATTCAGGATATATCATTGTCCTTATCTTTTGGATTTCTTCTGCCTGAGGTGTTCAACTTTCTTCTTCCCACTACATTGACGGTGAAGAGTGGCTGGAATAGATTTCCGTGAATGCATGGGTAGAGGGCTGGCGGTAAGCACATTACTAATCACTTGTGATTTTCCCTTCCCTTTTTTTTTCTTTTTTTTCTCTTTGGAATTGCTAAGAATCATCTACAAGAGTTTTAGTGATGTCTCATCTGAGTTTCAATCCGTTAGTTGTGTCACTGTAAATCGTGCAATTCTTTGATCATGGTTGTATTGTCCCGCGAATCCAGTGTCGCTCCATGCATCCGTTGTCCACTTTGCGGCCCATCGCGTCATGCGCCTTTTTTGTTTGGCCGTTATTCATTGCTTGTTTCGTATTTTTTGAACACAGTATATACACAAGCGCTCATATATACATTCATACACTCATCCCTATGAACAAACACATGCACACCCTATCATTATGAGCACCTTCAAGAGACTAAGCTGGCATATCATCTTGAGATTTATAAAGCCTTCTTAGGCGCCTTGTAGTCTCCTTCCACTGAAGGTGCATCGCTGAAAATGCTGAAATAAATTCAGAAATATGTGAACACCAGGACTTAAACCCTGATGGGCTAGGGATACCAATGTACTCGTAACCATCCAACCACAGGTTAGCTTGCTTGTTTCATATTTTTGGAGTTGTGTTGTGATTGAAGAGACGAGTTGGCTGTAGACACGAGTTAGACGCTGGCTGAACATATCAATTCTTCACTCTCTATATAACACATTTCCCTTTGTCTGTTGAAGGATCACCCGACCTCCCTTCCTTCACATACTGGTAGCATGCTTTTGAGCCTCAACATGGCACCCGTCGTGTTCGGGTGTGGCCTGTGTGGGTAATGGTGGCCCAACCACTTACCTATCTCAATAAAATTCGCCCAAAACAGTACCCATACCAGCATCTCTGGTTTCAAATTGTTCCCATACCCGTACACAATGGGGTGCGGGTAATACCTGTGGGTAGAAATACCTGTATCGGCCTTACCTATTTCACACTTCACCATCTACTTTTCTAGCATGTCCATATATATACACAACATTTCAGTAGGTATACTTCAAACTTTCAACACATATATACCACATTTTAGCATTTCAACACATCTATATCATGATTTGATGTGCGATGGGATAGAAAAAGGGTATGGATTTTCAAAAGTGGATAGCAATAAGCATGAACTAGATGGCACCAAACAATGTCCAATTACATTCATGGGTGAGTGAACTTCATTGAAAACGTTCAGATACGTTCTTTCTTCTTTTTTCCAATTACAAGATAAACAAGGGGGACATAATTTTCTCTAATTTATTTTATTGAAGTTACTTCTGCAGCCCCCCTACTTTAAAATGATCAAATGAATGACACTATGTAATAAGATCACCAAAATCAGAGACAAAATCATGAGTTCAATAAACAAGATCAACACATTTAAACAAGATGATGCACAAGGTAAGTGGTGGGGATTTTGGGTCGAGGCTAGCGGTTGTGTTCCCGTACATGGGTATGCGGGTACGCGGCTATGGGTATTGCCTTCCTTTACTAGTACTTGCTTACCCGATGGGTACAATATTTTCCCCATTTATAAACCCATGGGTATTTATTTATTCCAAACCCTTACCCTAATAGGGTTATTACCCGCCGGGTTCGCAGGTTGCGGGTATCCATTGCCATGTTGAATTTGAGCCTTTGCTTCTTTATGAAAGCAAAGGCCAAAAACACCGAATATGTACGTGACTTGCCCCCGGTAGGCCCCCCCAACATAGGGGGACGGTGACTCTTGGGATGTAGAGTAGAGGCGACCCGCACATGGAGCTGCTTTTAAATACAACAATGACATGCAATGAGCCATTTTTCTTCGATTCCAAGCCTAAGCCTGGCAAGCAAGAAGTCTGCCTCTTTTATTTTTCTTGGGACTCTGAGCCTAAGCCTGGCAGGCAAGAAGTCTGCCTCTTTTATTTTTCTTGGGACTCCAAGAGCTTGGCAGGCAAGAAGTCTGCCTCTTTTATTTTTCTTGTCCTAGTTGGAAGTCGACCACCGACATCCAACTAGGGCTGGCCCATTTTTCGTCTCTATCATGCTAAATTTTTGTCACTTTTTGAGTTGGTTTGCTAAATTTTTGTCTCCTCTGGTCTCTGTCATGCTAAATTAATTGCCTTTCTAGATAATAAAAAGGGCAAAATGTTCTTCCGTTCAAAGTAACATGCAAATAGGATCGGAAGAGAATGAAACTTGGAACGATGTCATCATAGAAACCCTATAGGTTATGGCAAAAAATTCAAAGCGTTAAGGGAAAACTAGATGTAATTCGTGTATAAATTGAACACTCTCCGGTGGACTATCAGGGTTCGAGCAAAAACCACCGTCAACCAACTCTTTTCTTAAAATCATTTCTCATTCAAACTTTATCTATGTTGACTACACATCATTGAAAGTGACATGCTCAAATTTGGCCACCTTTTTAGTTGGTTTGCTAAGTTTAAAGCATTAACTGATTTCTGGCCATCAAAAAGGGCAAAACGCTCTTTTGTTCAACATAACATGTAAGCAACTTGGAAATGGATGAAACTTGGCATTGTGTCATCATAGGACCCCTATAGGGTGTGGTAAACTTTCGAGAGCATTACGGCAAAAACTTTCGAGTGTAGAAACTGAACACTCTCCAGCGAATGGAAACACTCGCCTTCCACATAGAACTCAATTTTTGTATCATTTCCACTTTAAACTATTTCTATGTTGAATATAAATCATCGATAGCGCCATGCTCAAGCTTGGGACTGCTCTGAGTTAATAAACATGATATCTTCAAGCAGTATCTTTACAACACTTATGGCATGCGAATATTGCTGTCCGCCACTGCTACCTTTAGATAATTTTGAAATGTTCAGGCGTGGCTTATCGAAATATGG